CAGCCGCAGTGGCTGCTGCAGCAGCCGCTGCTGCTGCCTTTGCAGCAGCAGCTGCCCGAAATGTATTTCTTTGGTGAGAAGCTTTCCTGTGGAATAGCGGGGCCTCCCAAACACCTCCATCCGTCCTAATGCAATATGGTGTACTTGTTGCTGCTGCCGCTGCAGCAGCTGCTGCTGCAGCAGCAGCACGTGGCGTCGCAGCGCGAGCAGCAGCAGCAGCAGCTGAGGTTGGCCTTGCTTGTGATTTACGGCATGCATTGTGCACAGTGTGGTGTCATCCGCCCCTTGTTTAAAACAGTCAAGTCAGCGACGCCGGCAGCAGGCGCAGCAGCAGCAGCAGCAGCGGCGAGCGAAGCAGCAGCAGCAGCAGCAGAGGCAATGCCAGTGGCAGCAGCAGGAGCCGCTGTATCTATTGTTCGAGTACTTGGGACCTGCTGGGGTTCCATGTGCTGACTCCTCTGCAGCGCTGCTGCGTGCCTCCGCTGCTGCAGCAGCCGCAGCAGCAACAGCAGCAGCAGCAGCAGCAGCAGCAGCAGCCGACGCCTTGGGGTGTCTGGCGAGACAGGGATTGCGGCGTTTCTGAGCGTCCAGTTGACAGTGTGGCTCCGAACTGAATGAAATGAATTAGAGGAGATTTAGAGCACTTTGCAGCTTCAAAACAATTAAAATGATTAATTTAATTATTTAAATGCATTAAAATAGTTAAAAATAGTTATTTTAATTGTTTTAATTCATTTTAACCATTAAAAATAAACCAGGTAGTGCTGTTGGACCCAAACCGGAAACGCTGAGCCCGCAAACTCATGCAGCAGCAGCAGCAGCAGCAGCAGCAGTAGCAGCAGCACGAGAGAGCCCCGCAGCAGCAGCAGCACGAGGGAGCCCCGTAGCAGCAGCAAAAAGCGAAAGATAAGTTAGATTCTAATTTATTAGCTTTTAAACCCTAAAGAAGCGAACAAAGTGGATGTTGCTGGTGCTGCTGCTGCTGCTGCTGCTGTGGCAGCGTTGGGTGCAGCAGAAGAAGCAGCACGGCGAATGGAAGAAGTAAAATTGTAAATGAAACTAAATTCAAAATGAAATAATTAATTAAACTAAAATATCTAGAAAGCTAATATAAGTGGAAAGACTGGGGCAGCAGCAGCAAAGGAAACAAAAATAAATAATTTGAACTTCGGGAGTTGCAGCACGGCTGCCGCTGCTGCTGCTGAGAGGCGCAGCAGCAGCAAGCTACCCAGCTGCTGCCCCCGCAGCAGCAGCAGCGGCTGCTTCTGGGAGGCACGGCAGCAGCAATATGCCAAGCTCCTGCCACTGCAACAGCAGCAGCAGCAGCTGCTGCTGCAACTGCTGCTGCTGCTAACATTTAGCACTTGCAGGCGATTTTACGCCTAATGTCGACGCAGCCGCTGACACGGTGGGCGGGTCTAGGGCCTACAGCAGCAGCAGCAGGTGCTGCTGCTGCTTCTGCTGCTGTTGCTGCTGCAGCTTTCAGCGGCCCCACAGTGTAGAAGCTGCGGGTGGGCGCCAGCCGCCACACCTGGTGGCCTGCGCTGTAAGCTCTTGTTGCTGCTGCTGCTGCTGCTGCTGCACTAAAGGGGGCCCCTGAGGCCCTCCGACGAAGGGGTTTATCAGAAAAGAAGCAGCACCTGTTTTCTCTGCAACAGCTGCTGCAGTCCTTGCTGCTGCTGTTGCTGCTGCTCACTGGTTTGAAGCCGCTGTGCAGCAGCAGCGGTGAAAACTGCAGCGGCTTCGTGGAAAAACGCAGCTCTGCTGCTGCTGGGTGAGCTCTTGCTGCTTGCTGCTGCGGCAGCAGCAGATGCTGCTGCTGCGGCAGCTGCTGCTGCCGTATTATGTAGCGGGTCCTTACGGGGGGCGCGGTATGCATCTGCTGCTGCTGCTGCTGCTGCTGATAGCTGTGCGGCTGAGTCACCTTAGGGAAGCTAACTAGCTTTGTTGTGCGCTGCTGCGGCAGCGGTGTCTGCTGCTGCTGCAGCGGGGTCTGCTGCTGTTGCTGGCTAAAGTCCAATTGTGTTCGCTTGTTGCGGTCTTGCTGCTGCTGCTGCTGCTGCTTCAGAAGCTGCTGCTTCTGCTGCTGCAGCTCCGTAAGGCTGCAGCGGTAGCCGCTGCTGCTGCTCTCTGCTGCATCACTTGCTGTGGATACTCTGAAGTCACTCAGGGAGGTCTCAAGCCCCCTGCTTCCTGCTGCTGCTGCTGCTGCTGTTGCTGCTGCTAAATCCTCTTCTGCTGCACAAGGAAACACCACCCAATCAAGGAGCGTCCCAGCGGCGTCTGCTGCGCTGCTGCTGCTGCTGCTGCTGCTGCTTTTTGACAGGCCTTGGATAGTTACTTTTACGTTATCTCTCTGCCGCAAAACAGCTCTGTCCTGCTCGAGAGTCTGCTGCTGCTCAGTCCGCACCTGCTGCTGCTGCTGCTGCTGCTGCTGATACGTGCGGCTTCTGCTGCTCTCTGCTGCAGGACCCAGGGGGCTGCTGAGGGCAGCAAATGACGCAGCACTGTGAAAACGTGCAGCTGAGTTGCCACCAATCTCTTGCTGCTGCTGCTGCTGCTGCTGCTGCTGCTGCATGCAAGAGACTCTGCTTGTAGAGCCAGGGTCAACGTAGCGCTCCGGAAGAATATAAGGGCCAGCTGAGTGGCGGCGTAGGCTTGCTGCTGGTGCTGCAGCTGCTGCTGCTGCTGCTGTTGTTGCTGCTGGTGCAGCTGGACTTGTCGCAGCATTTGCTGCTGCTGCTGCTGCTGCTGCAG